AAATGCTTTTATTGATGATTTAGAACAGAATTGATCAGCACATTTTATTCTTCTCCTTGGATCAAAGTGTATCAATGGACAGGAAGCTGTGATGTCATTAACTGTATGCATCTTTTTCAGTCTGCGATTGGCCGGAGGGTGCAGCCAGTGGGAGCTCAAGGGTCAATGCAGGCTCTGCCCCAGACTCACCTAGAGCAAGACAGAGTTATAACTCTTAACTAGAGCTGTTTCTGCTCCTGCAGGGTGATGTGATGATAACGTTGCTTTTTGGAACCTGCTCTGTTTCTTTTAACAGTGGTTTTGCTATCATTACTTTAATTGTAGAGATTCAGGAAAACAAAAGGTTAGCTTCTGAGAGAGTTCAGAATAAATGTAATGTCATGCTTCTCTGAGTCAGAAGGAAAGCAAAGATTAGGCCTGGGTAGGTAGCCTCAGCCTGCAGCCCAAGCCTAATCTTTGACTCAGAGAAGCACGACAAACCATTTGACTGACATTACATTTATTCTGAACTCTTTCAGAGGCTAAACCCTTGCCCCGGTAACAACTTCTTGTTCCCTGAATGTGTACCACAGAGAAGGTGATACGGGAAATGCAGATTAAAATAAAGTGAGCTTATCCTTGAAGTGGTCTGAAGCACAGTCAAGTGAACTGGTAGACTGAAGTGGAGTAGACAGAGTAGAACAGTTGAGTCCAGTAGAGTGGACTTTTTTGATTTAGTGGGATATAAGACTGCAGTGTTTATGTATAAAGCCAGGAGCAATTTATTACCTGGTGGAATTCAAAAACTATTTAATGAAAGGGAAGGGGGATACAATTTAAGGGGTCAGTTAAATTTAAAAATTCATGCTATACGTACAACCAAAAAAAGATTCTGTATTTCTATAAGTGGGGTAAAACTATGGAATAATTTAAGTGTGGACATAAAAAATAGTAATAGAATTGATGAGTTTAAACATAAATATAAAGGTATGTGTCAATCAAGATATATGCAAGAACAGGTTTAATGATTAATTAGATGGAACATTGTGGGTGTGGTGTATATTTTGTAACCATTCTTTAATACATCACTGGTGTGATGTAAGAATGTTAACACTGTTATATTCTTTTTTTTAGTATAATATGTGTGACTGTAGAAATGAATCATTTATTGCTTGCAAACCAATGATGGTAAGATAATGTCATGGGGTAGGACTGGATAAGTCTGACTTCTTCCTACTCCATTCAAGCATGTACTAGGTATAAGCACATTGATATTGGATTATGTGTAAAAATGTGTGTTGTTATATCAACTTTTTTTTATATGCTTGAAAGAATAAATCAAATCAAATCAAATCGATCAAAACCTGACCGTCGTCAGGAACCTGTGCCATAAAGACAGCAGGAGGACACCAAAGACTTGACCCTAGTTTTAAAAATCAGAAAAGCTTGATGAGACATTTGTGTGTTCAACGGCAACCTTTGTTTTTGTCTGTGCTGAACAACTATGACAATAATAAAGATTCACTGTTGGTCTCATCCATCAAAATGCCTGAAAACTCCAGGGTACGTAAACAGCTGACAGAAATGGTCAACTACAGGAAATCACTGATCATTACTGTTGTGTGTGTGCAGGTGTGAACAGCAGTGTGAGGTTTTACTGTGAAGCAAAGAACACCAGAGGAATCTCTGTGTCCAGGACTGGTACAGTCCACATTAAAGGTGAGTTAATGGTCCTGCCCGAAGCTTGTCTGAAGGCCTGTTCCTGACCAAGTACCTTCTCCTTCAAGCAACACGCCTGCAAAATAACCCAGCTGTTATAGCCACTCCACGTTAAATCACACGGTTTTTACCAGCAGTCTGGCTTCTACCGACATTGTGTGTCAGCGAGGAGTTTAGTCTCCAGTGTGTCTGTAGAAGATCATCACAGTGACTCTGCTGCTCTGCTTCAGAACAAACACTAGGGTCTGCCAACCTCTCCAGCCAGAGTCTTCCACAGTATTCATGTCTGAGGTACCCACTGTCACTAAAACCACACTTTATGCCTCATTCACATCCGAGTTTCTAATTAGCCAGTTTCCCACGTCCTCTTACAACTGGGCAACTAAAGCCAACCAACATGGACGTGTCACATCACGTCCTTCAGTGTCAGAAGCTCACACTGAGCTAGCACGGTGTTTTATTGTCGGTGCACAGTCTGGAGCTGTCACTCACATGTTCACATCAGCTGCAGCATCACTGTGAGATTATCGTGTACCTGAGACAGACACCTGGAGGAGGCGAGATGGTCTTTTGTTGTGACGTTCAGTGTTTTTCATTGCTGTTTTCTTTCTTCAGTTTTTTGTCGAAGGACTGCAACTCCTCCTCTGGGTGTGGGTTTCTGGTTCAGACCTTGGCAGTCTCTCCTGATCTGGATCTCATTATTCTTGGTTGTCCTCTCTGTCTCAGTGTTGCCGTCAGCTCCAGTTGGACTGCAGGTCCTGAGGATGGTGGACAACAATGTGACCTTGTCATGGAAACCCGGATTCACAGGTCACTCTGAACTGTCCACCTGCATTGTCCAGGTAAGATGCACACACGTTTGTACAGGTATGTCACTGACATAATGCATGCTCTGGCCCCCCACCCTGACCATAACCACCTCAAATACATGTCTTCCTCTAACTCAATGAAATGTCCTCACTTCCACGGTATAAACTTGCACTGCTCCTTATAAAGATACACACACGCAGTCAGACAGACTGAAAACTGTTCAACATAAAAATAAATGTATACGTAAACTTGTCCTCTCCCATTTCCTCCACCTTCTCTCCACCGTCTCTCCACCTTCTCCTCCTCAGGTGGGGAGACGGTCAGTCCGGAAGTTGGACCTCCCTCAGCAGGAGGTTCGGGTTCCTCCTCACCTGCAGGTTCTGTCAGGTCTGAGGAGTCACTCAAACTACAGTGTGAGGGTCTCCTGTGTGAATGAGGTGGGGGTGTCTCCTTTCTCCCCGTGGCTGCACTTCCAGACTCCTGAGTCAGGTGAGATGCTGCTAAAACACCCAGAGCAGGTGAGAAAATAACATGTTAGTTTCAGCCTCCCTGTGATGAATACCACCACTTTACTGAGGGTCACTGAGTGATCATCACTTCAAAGACAGAAAAATTAATTTTAACAAGACACGCCTTTACAACCGATGAACAACAAAACCGAAGCCGAACTGGTCCAGGTCTTAAAACCAAAGTTAGACTCAGTTGCTCTGCAACACCAGGACCACAACACGGAGGACCTGACGGGTATGATGTTCCACTTCAGTGTTTAGTCAAAGCATCTGGACACAAACGGAGTACAGGCCCCTGGACAATTTTATATTTAACATCAGTATTACTCAGTGTTTTTAAAATAATCCCACAATGTAACACATTCATAAATTATGAAGCCAGTGTAATCTAGAAAAGATCATTTCTGGAGAAATTGCACTGGGAGAGCTGAAACGCTGCCGAAAAGACACCAATTGCTGAGAAGTTGCTGAATATGGAAATGTTAGTGCATTTCAGGATGAAAGTGGAGCGAAACAAAAAAGAAGCTGACTGAAAGAAAATTGCAAAAGTTAAAAGAAAGAAAACAAAGAAAGTTGGAAGAAAGGAGGTAGGAAGTATGGAGGGAAATAAGGATCAGAGGGATTGAAGGAGGGAGGAATGAAAACATTCTTCTAAAAAGGTCAATGTATCTATTAATGTTAGAAGTATTAGTACTGTTAGAAACACTGGTAATGAGAGTAGAGCTAATGACCAGGTACTGATAGGGACAGTAGTATCAGGGGAGGACATGTGTCATGGATTAGAAGAGACTTGGTTTCCACTGATCGATCAATCAAATTTTATTTGTATAGCACCAAATCACTGATACGACAGACTGCGTGTCAATAAACGGAGAGAGAGAGCGTAGAGGACAGACGGGCGATCGACAGCAGCAGGCACATCGCTATGTCTCATCCTTAAGCGACAATCCAGCCGAACATGAAAAAAAACTTGGCCTCACAAAAAGGGCTACCGAAGGAAGGTTATTAGTCATATTGAAAAAAATAACCTCACCGTTTTTCCTCTATGTTTATGTTTATGAAAGTTCCTGACTACTTCTTCAACACCGCGTTGTTGCTGCCGCGTATTGTCCTGAACATACATGTAACTGCAGGGTAATTTCTCAGTGCTGGGTTTTGGTATAGACAAAATGTGTGTAAACGGGGTGTGAGCACTAAATGGAAACCTGACTATTTTTTGTCCTCACTGTTTACATGTGTTAGTCAGAATATTAGGAACCCCTCTGAATATAATGTAGTCCAGTTCAACAGCATCACTGACAACCGGCACAATGTTATGAACAAACACCACTGAACAGCGACGGCAGGTTGACTGTAAGAGAGCAGGTGGATTGGACTGTGTTAGACTGCATAGGTGTCACTAATAAGATGACATTCGGTTGTGGTGTTGACCCCTCAGCTGTGAACCGCTTAGCAGAGAGGAGCTGCTGCTTTCTGTCTTTTCCGAGCAGCTCTCAGGCTGTTGTTGTTGTTGTTGTTTTGTGTGTGTGTGTGTGTGTGTGTGTTGGTGGTCCAGCTGGATCTTGTCCAGTAGATTCCAGGCCTCTCTGTACAATCAGCTTTTGTCTGTGGCCTCAATCTGTATGACAGGCCTGTGCAGCAGCCTGTGGACTGTGCAGCGCCCCCTGCAGGCTGCTGACTTCAAGTGGTTTGTCTGTTTTTAAAGTCAGCTGTTCAGCATGTCCTGTTGTACTGCAACATGGCCTGCTTCAGCAGTTTCAGAGAAACTTCAGTCTGTATCATTAACTCAGAATGTGTTTGAGGATCAGAATCTCTGTTCAAGCAGCTCACCGTCAAAGCCTGCACAGACTGACTGGCAGTATCTCTGATAGGACTAATAGCATCTCTTCTGACTCGTCATGTGTTCAGCGGACCAACCTCTGCCTCTTACAGGTGATTTACAGTCGCACAGTTTAAACGTAACCAGCTGAGGAGCTCTTCCATCCGTCAGTCTGTTGTTTGTGCTGCTGCAGCCCTGACCTCAGAACATGAAGTGTCCTGAATGTCTGGTGTGATTA